AGAAAGATGTGTGAAATTCTTTAGACATTGAAAGCTATGCTTTTTTAATCCTCTCTGTAACCTAATTGTCTTATAATCCCTATGACATTGTTTGGCTTCTAAAATCGGTGACAACATGATGTTACGGTTATGCTTAAAATTAATCAGACCTTAAGTAATGCAACCAATATTGATCTGTTTTGGAATCTTCATTATTACATGTAGTGTTTAGTGACCGTTAATTAATAATTATTTGGAGATCGTGGGATGCGGTCTGGAGTCAGGTAGGTTTTAGAAAAACATTTTCTTTATCTTGCCAACGTTTCGATCTTTATTGAGATCATCCTCAGGGCTCAAAGCGTTTATTTTCTGTGTAGATGTGTCATTATTGTGTGTCGTGTTGATAATGCCAATATCTCACGAGCAATCAAAGTGTTTATACCCACTCAAAGTGTTTTTTTTCTGTGTTTTGATTGAGTCTAAAATTTCTGTCATAGTATTCATTTTTTCACATCCTACATGTATTTGTATAATTTAAACAAAGGTTATAAATCCCAGGCTCTGAACATGATCTCAATAAAGCGAAAAGTTGGCACGATAAAGAAAATAGTTTTCTAAACCTACGTCACACTAGATCGCATTTCACGATCTCCAAATGATCTTCATTAATACGTAGATCTCTTCATTAACCTGGCTTTTTATCGGATCCCAAAGCTTTGTTAAAAACTCACGTGCCTTCAGGCTTGGTTTTCCTCTCCTAGGATTAAGTATCTCCTGGGCCTTCGGACCAAAGAAGACTTGTTCGGCTGTTTCTTATTCTTCCTAGCATTGTTCAGAAAGCAGTCATACCATCATTCTAGTCCCTGGCTCAGTAGTTCTGCTGTTACTTTCTGCGATGGTCCGTTGATGAAATTTTTACAATGCTTCTTTCCTGGAATACAATCCCATTGAACCGAAGATTTATAACATGGCCCTATGTGTTCTGATACCAGGCAAGGGTGTCCAAAATGTCTGGCGGGGCTTTGATGCAATCCAAAACGGCTTTTCACTTTACTATCGACTAGGTAGTTGTAATACCCAGCCTTTTGATTTCATTTGAATAATGTTCCACCTGAAAGGCAATGTCATATTGCCCAAGGCTTATATGAAATATAGACCTTGGTTTATTTCCATAGATAACAGGTCGTGACCATTATAGACAACTGTATATCAGATTTAGTCCGCATTAACTGGGATCCCTTTTTCTCAGACTGTTCTATTGGGTATTTTCGTTTGTAATTTTTTAAAATCTAATTTGAATTTTGGGACCATGGCGACCACAGGTATCCCTAGAACGTGGTCTGCCTGAAGTTCTTCCCAAAATTTAATTGCTCTTTTTTTAGCCTGTGCTGAAATTAACTTGTAAATTGTAGCCCTAGCTCCTCCCTGAATGAAGATATGTATTGGTCGTATTATAGATTCTGGAGGTGTTGCAGGATAACAGTAGGTCCTTTCTGTAAGAGCAAAGAGCCAGTACTGAACAACATACCTTACGTAGCTTGCAATTAGTGAGTGATACACTAGTTTTCAGTTATGTACGGATACATATCATAAAGGATTTCAACATTTTAGAAGTTAATTATATGAGTGGAAGAGAGTCAAACTTTAAGAAAGTAAAAGTAAAGTAGTATCGTTTGCCATTGATTCAATTAAGTTCAAAAATGGGACTTTAGGAGTTGAAATGTTTACAAAACCAAGTTTAATATTGCTGAAAATCAACAAAAAAATTTACTTTTAAAAAGGAGTATTTAAAAAAAACATATTTATATAAATCACTTAATATAATGGGTATTTCTCAGTGTGTGAGCAATTTGTAGTGTCACTCAATCCATTCGTTTTTATGGTTATTAAGTTTTGATGAACTATTTACAAGTGCAATAATAAAAACTTAACAAATATACCTAAAAGCATTATTTTTGGTGTTATGAAACCGTCAAAAAGGATCCTTTGATATTTGTTTATCTTCTGTTACTATTGATATAAGTAAGTAACAGAAGATAAAGAAAAATGTTGTATAAATTAAAAAAATTCTACATTTATCCTTTAGAATCTACAATTTTGTAAATTTAACATTTTCATTTTGCTAGGAAAAAATATAATAAAATAATAGAGACCATTTGCCATGTAACACGAAAAAGTATATAACTTTTTCGACAAATAATTTATGGGAAAATTAGCTGTTAAAGTGACTTCCTTCTTTTAATTCAGTTAAGGATGGCACGATGAGACCTCAGCCGAACGAATGATCACAATAAATTTTATCTAGTTCAAAACATTTAATTTAAAAAAATTTATCATCAGGTTTAGTTTTGATCTAAATGTAGAACAGACGTTGTGTGTCCTGATATAAGAAAATGAATAGCATTTCCGTTACTAATTTGCTAATAAATGTATCATTGCCTGGCCTCACTTTTCAGTCTACAATATTTAACCATCGTAAAAACCCCAAAACCAAGTCAAGAAGGTACAAAAATCTCTTTTTATCCAGATAAGTACACAAAGTATACAATCGCACAAGTATATCCTGAAATATAGTAAAATGTAATGTACTAAAAATGTACATCCACATATGTAAATGTATATGTACGATTCTTTTAAAAAATAAATCTGAAATCATTTTCTGTACGACGAATAAAGCAGAGAGAGAAATTACATTAATCTTCGATTCAACGTCCATGTCAAGTCTCAACCCTTGGGAAAATTTATATTAAAGTTGGCCCTTTAAAAAGAAAAATAGGTTTAAATTGGACAACAACTTTTGACATACTCTCTTGCTTAGTTTGACAAATTCTTTATAGTAGACCGCGCAGTTTTGTGATCCAACAGTCTTTATTTTAAATTTAAATAAAATATTTATTTATTTTACGAATTTTTAATGGAAAATTTGACAGAAAGATAATTTTGGAATGTAATCTGTAATATTTCTGTCATACGTGAATTTTGAAGATGGATGATACCTATTAAATACATTGAACTTTTAATTAACTTGCTTTAATAATCAAACATCCAAATCCCTTATATTTTTTATTTATTTTACATAAATTGAATTTAATATTTTTATTAAATATATAATATTTGGATAATAAATAAAAATAGTAAATTTTATTTATTGAATTTAATAATAGCTTGAATTTATTAATAGTTTACCTATTGTAGTGCTTTGAAGAAGGTGGAATATATACGACGAAAGCTTCGTAAAACTTATAAAAGTTTTCTTCTGTGGAGCACATCCCTGATCCACTTCTACAATTAAAAACTGTGGGTAGATAATTTATCCTTACTGAAAAATATGTAAATTTTAATCTTTAACTTTTTCTAATCATCCAAGTAGATTTTTAAATTTCAGCATAATGTAAAGATTTGTTTCAATATTTCATAGCAGCCTTTATGTAAGATCATTTACATAAAAAAATTCTTTCGCTCTTATGCCAAAGGAAAACGTAAAACCTTTAATAAAATGTACATACGCTTTAGGAATTTTTATTGCAACACACAGTGACCCATTTATCTGGAAATTATTCACAGCCATTGGCTGAACTATCAAAAACGTAATATATATAAGACCCTAATAAAATATTATTTTATTGCAATGATATCCATGCAAAAAAGCACCTTAGTTTTACTGAACCTGATCGTAATATTTCTTTACCTTACCAAGGTACTCAAAAATTTATTTAGCGATTCCCACAGAAACTTTTCATCTTCTTTTATTTCGTGTTTTAATTAGACTAAAAATCAAGTTCAACATTAACATAAATGATTATTTGGAGATCGTGAGATGCGGTCTGGTGTGGCATACGTTCAGAAAAACATTTTCTTTATCGTGCCAACGTTTCGATCTTTATTGAGATCATCTTCAGGGCCTGGGATTTATAAACATTGGTTTTGAGATATTGGCACTCTCAACACGACTCACAATAATGACAAATCTACACAGAAAACAAACAGTTTTAGTTAGTACAAATACTTTGATTGAGTCTAAAATTTCTAGCAATGTATAAATTCATTTTTTTACATCCTATATGTGTTTGTATAATTTAAAAAATGTTTATAAATCCCAGGCCCTGAATATGACTTCAATAAAGGCCGAAACGTTGACACGATAAAGAAAATGTTTTTCTAAACCTACGTCACACCAGACCGCATCTCACGATCTCCAAATAATCATTAACTAACGGTCATTAAACACAACACATTACCATAAATAACATAAATATCTATCAGGTTGCGATCTTAAAGCACGATTATTATGTTGAAACAGTATTCTTATTTCAAGAAACTTGTGCACACGACTAAAGCTGATAAACTTCGTAAAAACTTTTAAAACTTCGTCCAAAAATTAATTGAAGATCGACACTGTCTTGAGAGACGTTGAAATCGAAAGATAAATATGCCAGTTACTAAAGTCTTTCATAAAGTGTTTTGTGTAACTGTTTGTTAATGTTTATGGTTGTAATTAAATCAAAAACTCAACTGTTAATTAAATTGTTCATTTAGGCTATTCGTTTTCTAGAATTTTACCCGCTGAGGCAATGAAGTGTTATTTTTCTATAAATTTTAAAATAACTTTTCATTATACAACTCATTTTTGCTTATATCACTTTGTTTATTGCCAATATGGTTGTTTTAGTATTGGCGGACAATATGATGGTGATGTATCTTGTTTGGGAAGTAGTTGGGTTATGTAGTTATTTATTAATCAGTTTTTATTATGACAATCCAGAAAATGGCAAAGAAGCTTTATTTGTCACACGTACTGATGATGTATTTTTAGCAATTAGCATGTGGTGAGCTTTGATAATTTATTGGCAACGAAAACACGTTGGTTTTGAAACAGGCAACTGGCCAAAGTTTTGAAAAAAATCTAAATATTTTTACTTTAGAATGGATTCGGCTTGGGTAGAAAATTGATAACAAATGAGAAAAAGCAGAGTAAAGTAATAGGTGATTTCGACGATTCAAGCTCTAAGAATAGAACTCTTTTTTTTCCAGGGTAAGGCGGTACGTGATTCCACGATGGTTATTTACCAAGATGCCCCATTCCGACACCTGTTGTGGCCGTGTCGTCTACCCTAGTGAAGAAGGCGTCTCAGGCACTATTGGGTAATCCCTGGCAACATCTTTTACAGATACGGTCATTTTATCGCCTGCGGGGTTCACGTTTATTTAGTTGTGAATGTTGTACGCTTTTCCCCTTGCGCTGCGTTTCGAAAATCGACTCTAGATTGATGGCAGACCTCGGACTAATCAACAACACGAAGAACATTCGTGTGTTTTGCCATTAAGACTGGATCATTTTTAAAAACAAATTAAATCCTTTCCCGTCAAATTGCACGTGATGCTAAGAAGAAAAAGATCAAAGGCGGAGTTTCTGTGTATTTATGTTCAAAATTTCACTGAGCCTTCTACAAGTAAGGTAACCCTTCCAAATAAGGTTTGAGACCTTTCCACCATGACACTTCACGAACCTCCCTCAAACTTGACATACATTTATGTTCACTCATTTATACGGAATTCTTTTCATACGTAATTAGTCTACTAACTTTAAATCAAAAATCAAAAGTCGTCCACCTATTCATCAGAAGCGAAGAAAAATATGATTTGGTCATTTAATCAGTATGTATAAAAGTCAAATAATGTTTGTATTTGTGCAAACATTTCAAATATGAATTGACTGAAGCAGACCAAAACAAAGGGGATAGACCGACCAAAATGAACAGAAACCATGGAACTACAGGTTCATCACCGCCATGAATCCAAAAGGAAATGTCACAATAATAAACTAAGATTATTATTGTACAGTCTAGAGTAGTACGTTTTTGATATTTTATGTTTTTGTTCGTAGTTTGACCATAAAACCATTAGACGTACAAAATCGTATCAAATTCCGACACAATAAAGACACATGTAAAGATAAGTAGATAGATGTATTGATATTTGAGAATGAGAGACAAAAAAAAGAGAGAGAAAGAGAAAAGGAGGGAGTGTGATACTTACCTAATTTAAATAAATAGTTATATAGGTAGATAGGCAAGTGGAGAAATAAACGCAACGGCAAAAAAATCGTTCTTTAGTACAGTCCTATCGATTATAACGTTTCAATGAACAAATTTGATTGTCACGCTTTTACAGAAACTTCATTAAACCATTTTGTTTCTTTCGACTATGAGGACTGCAAAATCTTTGCTCAAAATAATAGGAGTCCAATAAATCTCAAATTGAATCTCGCTTTCACGCAGGCAATTACACGCTCTACATACCAGAGTAGCAGTTCTTTCTCACTTTATTTCCCCCTTTTTTCCCCTTCAATTTTGACCTGGCGTGACTGTTAAGTGTAACTCGGGTCTTTTGTCTCCCTGGCCCGTGTGCCACGCACACTAGAACTGCCGCTGTTTACATTTTACCGGCTTCCATTGTAGTAGTACCCTGAAAGCAGCTCTCTACAGTCCTAGGTCTCAACACAAAGGTCAATGTAAGGTCAATTTTAGTCCACACGTAAACACTTGTTATATTCTCGTTGTATTGCATCTATTCATACATTATTAAAACAACATATAGATATAACGAATAAGAATCATATAACGATCAAGAACCACAAGAACCATTTTTAATTTTTTTTTTTTTAATAGCCAAATTCAATTCATCGTTCTTATAAATTCACTAGTTTCGTGGTCCGTTTAACCAATTAATAACTTTCAATTAATTAAGGTTTTTAGTTGAGATAAAAAAGTCAATGTCACGAGCGGGATTCGAACCCTCGACCTTCGGCTAGATACGCCGCTACTCTACCACTTGAGCTATCGTGACTTCGATCCACTCGGACACTAACTTTGAAAAATAGCAAAAAGGAGGGGGAAAAAAAGGTGGGGTTGAGATGGGAAGTTAGTGTCCCGATGATCAAAGTCACGATAGCTCAAGTGGTAGATAGCGGCGTATCTAGCCGATGGTCGTGGGTTCGAATCCCACTCGTGACATTGACTTTTTTATCTCAACTAAAAACCTTAGTTAATTGAAAGTTCTTATAAATTTATATCGCTTTTATGTCATATTTAATTCTCACTAAGTGTTTTAGTCTCAGCTGGTCTTATGATGAATATAAAATGAAATTCCCTAAAATAAAAAGCTAGTTCTCTTAAAGAGAACCGTACTTTCCAAAGTGTGCTAAATTACCTCAAAATCACTGTATGTTTTTTTATAAAAAAATTGACAAAAGAAAAAGACAAAATATTATAAAAAATCATTAAATGAAATACAATACATTTTGTAACATCATATTTTCGATTTATCTTGAATAGTGAAAAAATTGTTTAGGTACAACCATTTTGAGAGAAATTAAGAGAGGAAATGTGGAATTGAAGAGTAAAAACATTTGATTTCGATTAAATTCTATTTTAAAGGCACTTTATTTCAATTAAATCGTCTACATTTTATGACATATAAGTAGGTATTACAGCCAACACGAAATTATCATCAGCCTGAACTGTATTATTATTTTATTATTCAGCCAAACAGTCCGAGAGTTTTAATTAAATTTGAATTGTGAATAAAATTGAATTTTAAACAAAATATGAAGAGATGTGCATTCACAATATCTTCATGTAATGACGTGAAAAACCAAGTTGTAAATAACAATTTACAATTACAAATAAATGACGTTAAGAAGAAAACATGAAAAATGTATATTTCATCTTCGTGCAATCTTCAGTAGATGTCTCTTTGTTGCTTCCTGCGATCATCTTGTTTCGAATTATACACGATACGAAACTTCAATAAAAAACATTTCGTGAGAAAATTGTCAAATTATGTGCGTCACGAAAACAACTTCGGCACGACGAAACAGAAGGATTGCGACCACTTTCCATTTAAGGAGAGCCCATCGGTGATCCTTGCATAAATGACGATTCCGTAAATATTTTTCAAGGGCCATTGACCACACAGGTTCATATTTGATACTGTAAACTGGTTTAGCTGAGATTATCAGAAGAGAAAACCGCAAGTTTCAACTGTTTTTAAAATTGCTTAAATTTTATAACCAACTTGTATAGCTAAATGCACATAGTTCAGTCAAAACAATTAATAATTCAAAGGAATATATGTCTAGAATCAGTAATTCACGTTTAATAATTAGAAAAAACCTAAAGACGTTAGAGTACGACAGAATTGGATAAACAGAAATTTTAGGAATTATTTTATATTCTACAAATTGTTTGCAATGATTATTGCTTATATATACTTTATACATTTTCTATTCAAGAAATATTTTGATTAATAAATAAATAAATACGAAAAACTTAATAAAATTAGACTTATAATTGCTATTACGTTACAATACAACATATTAAAACAATCTGAGAAAAAATACATGCTCGACAGCAATTTATTCCGTTTGAGGTTAATACAAATTATTCTAGAGATATTTTCTTTTTAATTATATTTCTTAACTTAGCTTTATTTCTCGAGATCACTATCTTATAATATTTTTTATTATTGTTTAGATTTTTGTGATTATTCTCTGTAATTGTCCAACTTTTTATACAATTACAAAGGGGCGAGTACGGTGGTTCGAATGTCTAGTTCTTGTATGTAATTGATCCTTTATAAGGGTCCTTTCGTTGTCGACAAGAAAATCCACGTCGGCGTGGGTAAAAAATAAAAACAAATTTCAAGTTCAAATGTATAATAAAAGTTGGGCTACCGACTGGGGAAAGTTCCTCGGAACAACCGGGCTACTTTTGAAGGGGGTTAGTCTACAAGCCGGGCTTCCTTTAACTGAATTTTCACAGGAGATAATAAGCAAGGCGATTTTTTTCCCATGTTAGCAAAACAGCAAAGAAGGACAACGCTTTAAAAAAAAGTATCGGTCGCAAAGTAAAGAAACGCCCGCAAATGGGCAAGAGAGCTTTGTGACGCTTTAGGCTCATCGGCTTTGATAAATCCCTTGTAATCCGTTGACCCTCGGCAACCTGGCAAGGGCTTTTAGGGTCAACATTTTTTTCAAGGGTTTATATCTAGAAAAATATTTCTTTCTTTTATTGCACTTAAATCGTCTTAATTTAAGACACGCTGGAAAAAAAGGAATAAAATGTGTGTTCGTAGGAACTATATATTTATTTGTTTTTATATTTGTACGTACAGGAAGAATAACATCTGTGTCGACCGACTACGTATCTACCTCACAATGTGAAAGTAACAGTTTTAGAGAGGGTAGATTATTAGAAAAATCACGGACAGTAAATTCGGACGCAATTAAGATGTAAAGATAGGTAGATGTATTGATGCATGAGAATGAGAGAGAAAGAAAGAAGAACAGAGAGTGTGTGATAATTCCATAATTTAAATAAATAGTTATGTACGTAGATAGATAAATAGAGATCGATACAGATATAAATATATACAGAAAGAGAGAAAGCTAGAGAAAGGAGAGAGGATATCGATAGAAGATAGGTAGATGGAAAGAAAGAGAAAAAAAGAAAGAAAGAGAGAGAGAGAGAGAGAGAGAGAGAGAGAGAGAGAGAGAGAGAATTTAAATTAAATTAAATAAATAAACAGTTATGTAGGTAGATAGATAGAGATATAAAGATATAGAGAAAAGAGAACGATAGAGAAACGATGAGTATATGGATAGAAAAAGGGATAGAGAAAGAACTAGTTAGACAAATAGATAGAAGATAGATAGATATATAGATAGATAGATATATGGATAGATAGATAGAGAGAGAGATAGTGAGACTTACATAATTTAAATAAATAAACGGTTATGTAGCTAGATAGACGTGTAAAGATATAGAGAAAGAAAGAAAGATAGAGAAAGGAGAGATGATATAGATCGAAAGAGGGATAGATAGAAAAATAAACAGACATATAGATAGAAGATGGATAGATATATAGATAGATAGGTAGATAGATAGATAAATCGATAGATAGATAGATAGGAGAGAGAGAGAGAGAGAGAGAGAGAGTGAGAGAGAGAGAGAGAGAGAGAGAGAGAGAGAGAGAGAGAGAGAGAGAGAGAGAGAGAGAGAGAGAGAGAGAGAGAGAGAGAGAGAGAGAGAGAGAGAGAGAGAGAGAGAGAGAGAGAGAGAGAGAGAGAGAGAGAGAGAGAG